CACATAAATTGCATCATGTAATGTGTGAATTGTGTTTTGGTTTTGGCTGAAAAATAATAAAGAGAAGGATGGATGTGTGCTCGGAGAGGAGAAATTTCACCCTCTAGATACCAAATATGATATATATCATCATTACAGGCATTTTGTATCTGGCAGCATTAAAAAAAAATGTTTGGAGGAATAATGAATACTTTTATATTTGGAAGATAGGAGGGGAAATTCCTGTGTCTGCAGCACAACACTGGCTCCTGCTCACCTCCCTTCCTCACTTGGCTCTGGCTTGCTGCACCCATGTAATTCATTCTTCTAACGGGGCTCAGGTTTACCTGGTGGCACAGCAGCCGCGGAGGCTACATGAGGAGCTCCCAGGTGATCAAAGTGACCACAAGTAAAATGACTTTCAGCTGTGTTACTTTGCATTACTGCTTGCAGTTTGGTTCAGAGGTGCTCGCACTGGATTGCTGAGTGCCCTCAGGGAAGGTCCTTGCTGCACCTCTCCTGTCCCAGGGACAGGGGCTGGCATGCTTAGAGGGAGCCCTGCAGGACCACTGAGCGGCCACCAGGACCGCAGTGCAGGGCCAGCAGTTGGCACGTCCCTTGGCCACTGCTCTGCTGATCCGCTGGCCTTACAGCCTGATGGTGAGCTGCATCCCAGCGCCATGATGGCTCATCACCCAACGGCCTTCAATGTCCCAATGGCTGGAGGCCCAAGGGATGGAGATCCGATGCCACGAGGCCTGATTACCCAAAGGCTCCATAGCCTGATGACTTGATGGCATGGCAGCCCGATGGCCCTGTAACCTCAGCAGGAGGCAGGCCAGCACACAGAGCTGGACAGATCAGCCCTGCAGCTTGTCCTACAGTACAGACTCAACCCCACCGGCTGACAGGAAAGCTCCGTGTTCCTTAAAAGACAGAGGGCTGGAAACTAAGGCTATGGGATGTGAAAACATGGCCATGTGTACAATTCTTAACATAAGGATTTTCTAATAGGAGCCTCTGAGCTCTCCAGGAATTAGGCGGAAAGCTGTAGGAGCAAATGTGTGTTGGCTCAGTGCTGAAGGTGAGGTCTGCCTGCCTTTGCTGAGGGACAATTTCAGAGCAGCAGTCCCTGAGAATCCACCCCTGCTGTCCTGAGCCCCTCCTGCAGCAATCTGGGCTGCGTCCAGATGTGCTATTGGTGTCCTTGACTGCAGTGAGCTCCCTGCCTTCGCTCTGTGCTCAGTGAGGAACACCAGGCACAGCCAAAAATTGGAGCCAACCCTGCCTAAGTGTGTCCAGTGCATCAACACAGGCAGAGCAAATTCCTCCTTCCAACTATCGATCTACTCCCTGTTAAGGCTGAATGAACAATTTATGTTTCTCACTTACGATCATTTTATTGATTTATTTTTAAAACAGTTTATGATGTCAAAGAATTCTGTGTGCTGTGGCACACGTGGAGGCTATGGGTTGCTGGTCCCCAGCAGGGGCAAGAAGGAGGACAGGCAGTGCTGACGTGATGGCTTGGCCATGACTGGGCTGGGGACAGGACCAGAGGACAGGGACAGGCTGCCTGTGGCCTTGGCACAGGAACGAGGTCTGTATGGCAGTGCCTGATGCTGGCACAACACTGCAGACAGGCTGCTCACTACTGGAGCCAGAGAAAAAGCTTCACCCCTTTCCTACACTTCCTCACATGTCAGATCATGCCAGAATTTTGCAATTCGTTAAGATTCTTCGAAAAGAAACTGAATTTTCCTTTTTCTTTTTCTTCTTCTTTTTCTTTTATTATTATTATTTTTTGAAGAAATGAAATCTCCCATGGCAGGCTATGAAGTATGGATTATTTACCTCCAGACTGGGCACAAATCTTGTCCAGTCTCGGAAGTAAACGCACACTGAGTCTTTAAGGCATATTGTTCATCCATGTAAATACGTATTTTGGTATACACATTCTTTACAACACACTTATGTGGAATAAGAAGAGATTTTGGTAAGTGTAACATTTACCATAGTTGGTCTAGAATGCTAACTTTGAAAATGTGCAAAGAAGCAGCTTTTCCTGGCGACGGTGTTTAACACCCCTGTATCTTAAAAAACAGCACAGTTTCTAACAAAAATATATATATTGAAAAGTTTAAAAAAAGCTGTCTAGCAATGATGGATACACTTCCTGCCACGTTATAAACCTTGAGAAATGGCATTCGTTCAAGAAGTTACGAGTTTAATTCCGTAATAGAATAATATCCTGATCAGCAATGCTTCTCTTTGAGCATTGCTGCTGCTGCTCACGTCACCGATGCAACGGTGATTAGCAGCCCTGAGTTATCGCACGAGTGGGAACTTACAGCATTACAGACCTTGGGGTTTCCCATGCAGACAGTGATCTTCATATACATATTCAGTTATTCTGCTTGGAGCTGAGCTGTTTATTTTTCACTTTTTAAAGGTGGGAATAAATAGAATGCGATTTGATCAACAGAGATGCACAGTACGGGTCAACCATTCCAAGAAGCACAGAACGTTCCGTCCGACAGCTGCCTAAAGCAAACACACCCCACAAACTAAAGAGAGAATGGGCTCTGCCCAATGCTGCAGCCTTCAGCTTGCTGCAGCCTTCAGCTTGCAGCAGCCTGCACAGCCCGTGCTGGAAGGACGTCCCAGCAAGTCCCAAACTGCACAACTACCTTTACCATGCAGAACAGATTAACCACAGAGCTGAGGTTCTTTACGGGATCGATGCCTCCTAGGGCTCTGATCCTGCCAGAACCTGAGCTTGTTTAACTCCACATATCATATCTTTCAAGGCAGGAGCACGAAGCCAAGCACCCGTGCCCCGTGTTGGCTGCACACCGAGGGGCAGCTCTGCTGGCACTGGGGCACACGGGGCTGTGAGCCCATGCACCCCAAGCACACGGCTCTGCTCAGTGCTCAGACACTCCTCTGTCTGACAAACTGCTACTGGCACCCAGAAACGTTCGTGGGCTCTTTTCCTTTTTGGAAGTGACAACAACAACGTACTCACAAATTTAACGGAGAATTAATGGGGCTGAAAGCTTTGTCCACATAACCCAGTGGTTCTACATCTGCCAGCAGCCAATACTTCCTTTTCTTCAAGTTTAATTAAGCTGCCGTTCATTCCATTCTGTTGCTGGGGTTGTTTCAGATGTCAGGAATCACCAAAATAAAATCATAATGGAAATGCCCAATTGGACCCAGCCCCAGCACAGCCTGTCTCACATTCACACGAGGAGCAGCAGGTGAGCTGGGTTACACACACCCCTGTGCTTTCTTCACAAGTCTGCCCTGACGTGATGTTTTCTGCAGCACCACTATTTCCAACGAACAGATTCTAAAATATGGCACTTTAAAGCTGCAATACAAGGGAGAGAAGAATATAAGGGCTACTGTGTACTTGAGTTGGCTTTAAACCGTTTCCTTCAGCAACGAGTTTAGTCATGTTATTCAAGGTTTTACAGAAATGCCACGCTTCTGAAGATGGCCACTGCTCAGCACGCAGCTGCAAACGACGTGACAGAAGTGGCACAGCCTGTCACTGAGCACAGGCAGACCTAGGATGCTTTATTGCCGTATTTTGGAGTCGATGCATTTCACTCCGTGCATCTGGGCTCATCAGTAACTGCAACAGCTTCACCACACGCTGTGCCTGTGCTTCAGCATGGGACAGTGCACAGTGAGTCCAACCCAACTCACAATTTGCCTTTTCAGACACGGGGGGATTCGGAACTGCTGCGTATGCACAGCACTCATCTGGTATTGCTAACCACAAACCTTATCGTTAGGAGGGGGAATGCAGTACTTATACAATGGCTTTATTATTCATGTCGTCAGCTGTTGTTTCTTTAAGCACATCAGCATCTACTGGGTCAATAGGAGACGTTGTGTTCTAAGGCTATTGGACACAGTCACATCCCAGCAACTTACAAGGATGGCATTTTTAAACTCAGCTGCAAACTGCAGCAATGTTTTGCACTGATGTAGTACGGGGCTGCTTAGAAAAAAATAGTGATTCTAGATGCTCTTTTGAAACTTGATCCTTCATTGAGTTTAATGCGAGCCTTATCTTGATAGACTGCAGTCCTAGGAGATGGTGTATGATGACTAAACTGCTGTGGTAAGCTATCTGTACAGTGTGTGTACATCAGGAATGATGTCCTGTCTGTAGATGCGTCACTGACGGCAGCATGCACTTCAGTACGGTTATTGGAGCAACCTCGTTTTAATATATATCTGTATTTTATATATATATGTATATATATAAAATTCTGCTTGATACTTTATGTATTTTCAGATATCTAATACTTAAAAGCATCCTTTATCATTGCTAAATTAGCCAAACCAGTACAAAATTAAGTGCAAGAAAAATACCAATTCACATCATATTTTTGCCAGTAATACAAAAGGGATGATTCAGCTCCTCACATTTACAGCCACTTAGAAATTCTGATTTAGAATGACTACGGGAAACCTTCTTACATTCAAAAGATGTCTCAAAATAATTTGCATTCTCTTTTGTAGTGGGGAAACTCGTTCTTAATGCAGATCGTCCACCGCTTAGTAGGGGGGAAATGAAAAGGGACCGGTGCTGTCCTTGTCTGATTGCCTAAAAATGCACTGAAGCAGTCCCATTACCCACTGGAGATGGGAGAGGAGGCCTTCTGCCTAACCAATAGCACCTTCGTCCTCAGAGATGGGTTATGCTCAAAAGGATGCTGTAGCATTTCCCAAAGCACATTCCAGATTTGTTGGAAAGGAAGAGGAAAATAGTGTTTTATGAAGGCACACCCATGCTGAATTTGCAGGAAAAAGGAAGAAATCAAAAAGCAGTACTGCACAATGCAGTTATAATACAAGGCTCATTCTTGAAACCTGAATATCATGCTGGAAGAAAATCTAGATATGTGTAGTATTCCGAAGAAATATTTTGAAGGCAAGATTATTTGATTTTTTTTTTAATCAAAAAAAAAAAAAAAGTTCCTGTGTACATGTGGAGAGAATGTTATTTAAGAAGGGAACTGAATGTTGTATTGCAGCCTTAAAGAAGCCCATTTTACTGCAATATTCTCCTTTTTTTTTTTTGTAAACTACGGTCTGCAGTTCAGCAGACCATGACTGAATGCTTTTGAAAACTTGTAGATTACAAACATGAAATCACAATTAATACCCTCTAAAAGTAACTTCAGAGCTTTCACGTCTTAAAAAAGGACAATGTGTACTGCTTCACAAGGTAATGCAGCTAATCAAAAAAGGAGTAGAATTAAGGTATTTACATAATGAGCAATTCTACAGAAGGCGATCATCCCCACGCAAGCACTGCTGATTATATCCCACGCTGCTTTTAACAAACTCTACCAGATCAGATCCAGTCATCAGCACTTTCAGAGAATCCTTAAAAGCCTTTTAGGGTTCTTTACACTCAGTGCAGAATGATGTTCTTCAGGTAGAATATGCTGGTGAGGGAGGACAGTGTCAACACAAGGTACCAGCAGGAGAACAGGACCTCGGCGTCCCCGGTGATCCCATACTGGGCCGTACTGGGAGCTGCAGAGAGAAGAGAAAGGGGTTAGGGGTCCTCTCCTACCCTCATGTCCCAAACGCTTACAATTCATTCTTCTACGATAACATCAGAGCAGCAAAAGTGTTAATCTGAAAACAGGAGAGACGAGGCGGAGGTCGCCAAGCCCTCCAGCAGCAGTGCTGCTGCTGGCCGTGACACAGAGCGCAGCCCGTGATCCAGCACTCCAAAAGGCGAGCACTTAACATCAGATGGGTGCTTTGTGTTTAAACATCTGAATGATGCATCTGTTTTTAAGTTACTGAGCATCAAAATCTCCACTAATACCAACGGGAGGGGAATATATTTAGCTCTGTTGGACAACAACATGTTTTCTGCTTAACTTTCGGAGCCAGAGCTTGAACGCTGTGCTGAGCCATAGAGATGCATATTTATTGTCAATCCATTTGAAGAGATTGTATTTACTTGCTTTAATAGGAAGGCTCTCTCAAATCCCTAATTAAATATTGCAGTGAATGCATGCACACAGGGTCAAGAAACGTGTTGAGCTGTGAGATGATGGTGAGCAGCCGGCTGCTGGCCCACAGAAGGAGGCTTAAGCAGGAACCATTGCTTTTGCTCCTGTAAAATCCCAGGGGGATGATGGGGAACCCAACACCCAGCTGGGAGTACCGACATCAGTGAGGTGGGGTTGGACACAAGGTGAGCACTGGAGGTGTGCAGTGGAGGTGAGGGGAGAAATGGGGTCCATGAGGCCCCAGCACCCACTGCCGCCACAGCGCTGAATGCTGGTAAGAGTGTTTGCTTTTGATACTGCACTGCTTCTGCCTATTCCAAAACACAAAAGCTGTGTGAGCCTTACACCCAGTGCCACCTGCACAAGCAGACGTTGGCTGTGTAGGTGAAACTCAGATCCGAGCTGCAAAATCTGTTGATTCATCAGCTCTGCACATCCTTCTCAGAATCACAAAAGCATGAAATATCCCGAGGTGGAGGAGCTGAGAACACCACGGAGGGATTCTGGGCCTTATTTATTGCATGGAGTTAAAAATGACCCACAGCCTGTCTGGGACAAGGATGGGGAATTGCCTGTGGGTGCTGAGCTGCAGTAAGAGAGAGCCAAGGTGGTGCCCATCCCAGCAGTACACAAAGCAACAACACAATATGACCAAATTCATTCTAGATGTTAAAGCTTCCCCTTTTGTTCCTTCAACGGCTTCCAGCCATGACTAACTACAGGGCACTCCCCTCCCTTCTCATTAAAAAGGAACTTTCTGTGATAAACCGCCATGGCAAATCAACATTTAATGCGTTGGAAAAGGCAAGCTAGCAAACCCAAGCATAATGTAGGTGGTATTTCGTTTTAGCATATTAAAAGAGTTTCCCCAAGTAAAGATAATTTGAATTTCAGTGGCTTTAAAAGCCAGTGGAAAATTATGTAAATCTGATTTGCTGCATACGAACCATCACTGTGTTTGTAAAGCTTATTAAATCATAGCTGCATTGTTTCAGCATGAAGGTGCTAGGTGAATTAATGGGGAAAGATACATCTACTGTGTCAGCAACAGGAAGAGCTGTGGCTCCCAAAGCTGTCTGACCAGTCATAGGAGCACAGAATCGTTTGAGCTGGAGGGGACCACTAAGGGCCACATGGTCCCACTCGCTGCAATGAACAGGGACACCCACAGCTCCACCGCGTGCCCAGAGCCCCATCCCTGAGCTCGGGAGTCTGCAGGGATGGGGCATGATGTGAAAGAATCCTGGAGGAGGAGGAGGCCCAGACGTGAGAATAGAGAAGGACTCCAGCCCACTGATGGTGCCCCCAGGGAGCCCTGTGCCACCTCCCCAGCCCCACACCACCTCTGCCCACGTGCAGCACTTTTCCTTAACGCAGTGATTACTTCCACGTAATCCTAAGGTTTGTCACACTTAGCAGTTGTGAAAGTGAGCGCGCTCTCAGCGCAGATGGGATTATATTCAGACATCTCTCCTGGTAGTGAATATAAAGGAGCAAAGTAATGCTATATCACTATCTCTAATTAATACAAGAGATTAGGAAAAGTACTATGCTGAAATGCATAAACCAACATTTGCTAACACCCAGGGCTGCATTAACCAGAAATAATTACAAGCTCTAATGCTGAAGCTGGTAGACAAAAGCACGGACCTCTTTAGGTTGCCTGAATAAGCAAGAGTAATTCTGTTAAATGGATTATGCAGAGAGACGTTAATAAGCATTACAGTTAACTATATTCAGGTTAATGATTTATTGTAGGAAAGCCTTAATAGTTTGTATGCAAGATTTAAAACACGCAGAGAAGGAAGGGATAAACTAACTCAAGGTCAAAGCAGTAAGAAGATGAAGACTGGGCTGTCAGAACTGTCTGTTACAGGAGAAGCTGGAGAGAGAACAGCCCTTGAGGGCTCACCAGAGTCCCACGATAGCATCTCAAAGCACACTGATACCTGAAGGCAGCAGAGGATGGATGGCTGTGGAGGAACCATCTACAAAGGCTGCACGAGGACGCAATGGATTGAGGGTGGGGAGACCCTGTGGCCCTGAGGAGCCCAGCCCTGGGATGGGACAGCCTGGCCCTGGCCCACATGCAGCCACAGACCCAGCAGGACACCCACTGCACGGCCCTGTGCAGTCACTGTCAAGGCAGGAGACCAACCACGGTGCAAAATTCACTCGTTCAGTTAAATTGATAAATCTGAATCTTTCGAGGTTGTAAATAGGAATACAGAGGATCTAAGATGATTGCTCTGTGGAAGTAGAAAGCAATTATTTGTTGCATTAAAATATTAAAGCTTAGCATGGTGAATACTAGAGATAAATACGCCATCAGCGACGCTGAAGAGGAACACTGCCCTGTGTGTGTTTGCATGTATCTTAGTTTATGCACTGAAAATAAAAACAAATTATTCCTTGCTCAGCCACAAAGACCCCATTGGTGCCATGCTCTGTATCTGATTTTGAACTGGCAGGTGATACTGGTTCAGACTGTGTTCAGATGCATGTGTATATAGGGGTAAAGCCACAGGACACTCAGCTCAGCCTCCTGCACCAGAACTGCTCCGCCATCCAGGTACCCCCAGTGTGTGCAGAGCCATTCCCCATCCTCCTACCCACAACCTGCAGGTAATTCACACTAAATGTTGTCAGCAGCAATGTACTGATCTAAACACAGCTCAGTAATATACACAGCAATGTAGATTGTAAGTCAGATGGCTTTTGTCTCTGTGTTCATGCAATGGAGCGTGCCTGACATGCTTTGCAGTTGTCAGGACCAGAAGTGGTAGGTGAGCACTCAGCATCTGCATGCTGTTAAAGGCCCAGAATGCAGAACCATGGCTGGGGAAGGCTGCAAAGTGCCTGCAGAAGGCTTCTGATTGTCCTGATCCCTGCTCACAAATAACCCTCAAATTTTGGGAACAAAAGCATTCCCAAAATCAGCCAAAAAAAAATTTCCTATGAGGTTTTTGGGTTAAGTCAAAGCTTTTGCATGACTGCAGTACTATTTTTCCATTGCATGTCTGTGCCCTGCCAAGGCTGTAAGCAGGGCTGTGTCAGCGTCCTGCTGGGATGGCAGGCAGACCCCAGCCGTGTGACAGCTGAGGGCACAGTGCGTGTCCCTGCAGTGCTGGGGATGTGCTCTGGCTGTCAGCGTGGGCCTCCCAGTGGGCCAGGCACACGTCCCTTTGGTTATTCAACCTCTACATGTTTACAGTGGACTCTGATAACTTGGGAAAAAATGGGGCAGGGGAGGGGCTGCTGCTGGTGAGCCTGAGCCTGTGTTGTTGGTAATCAGTGCAAATAACAGATCCCCCCATACTGCTGGCTGCACAGCTGTTTCTTCAAGCAAATGTCTTTGGGTATCATGTCATCAGAACTGCGGGGCACAGACAAAGCAGGCTCATGCAAATCCTGCAGATATTACTGGCGTGCTTTTGGTGTAACTTCAAAAACAAAAGTGTTTTTACACCCTGATGCACTGTTGCACAGTATATCTTTAAGGGAGTTCCATTTAGACACAGATGGATTTGATCATATCAAATAAAAACCTTCTATTAAATAACACAAAGCAAAGAAGTCCTGCTAATACATTAATAGGATAAATGCAGCAGGCTCTGAACACAGGCTGCCTCGGTGTTTAGCAAGATAAAATAGTACAGCCCCAACATACCCAATTTCTGCTGCAAGCAATATTTCATAATACCGAGAAATATTTATGAGGAAAATTACTGAGGCTGGATAGAATAAAACTTGGCTTTATATATCATCCTTTATACTCAAGTTATCTCAGATTTCTTTCTGCAGAAGAAATGTGCAGTCATATTGGAACAAAGAAAGTGTCTTTTAAAATCTGAGAATTCCTGATGTATATCAGCCTCGAAGGTCAGAGACTGCTTTTGGCACAGAGGAAACAGCAGCGGCAGCACAGGGATGAGCCCATGCCACCCCATCCCCACGTGGTCTCCAGGTGCCACCAGTAATGGGGACAGAAGAAGACAGCTAATGCTTTGTCTAGAGGGTACAGCAGGGCTTGGAGCCATAGAATCATTAAGTCTGGAAGAGATCTCTAAGATCATCTAGTCCAACCGCAGTCGGTAGCACTGAGCTGATGTCTCGAGGCTGACGGTACGGCTCAGAAGCAGGAACAACAAATCCTAAATCCCATCCCCTATATCCTCCAGCATGGGCACCAGGTCTGTCCCAGGTCGAGCCAAGCTGGAATCTGAATGCAACAGCTGCATGAGAAGGAGCTTCAAGCACGGTGGAGGGCATGGCTAGAATTCAGGTCAAACTCAACCAGCAAAAGTAACCTGACCAAAAAACAACCAGTTTAATAAGGCCTCTCAAAACGGCTCTTTTAACAAAAATAGCCATCTTCATGCTTGCTTGGAGAACAAGAGTTGACTCTGTGACAAGTCCTCAGGAAAGCATCTGTGATTGCAGTGAATCATCAGTGCTGTGTTGCTACAAAAGGACAAATATTCCCTGGGATGTGTACATACAAGTGTA